TATATATTTATATTATTTTTATTATAATTCCTTAAATCAATCTTTAAATAGAATTATAAATCCGTGCATTGTTATCTCGTGCAATTTTCGAAAATATTCCAAATCGCTTCATTGCAATTTAGTCTTCATTGTGCTATCACTTGATATTTTCAAATTATTCCAGAAATTCGCAGTTTCGCTTCGCTTGGGCCAAGTAGTTTCATCAGCTCTCTTTGCCCTTTGACCCGCAATTCAATTTGCTGGAACTATGCTATATCTAGCATATAGAACTATCTTTATAGTTGATCTCTTAGTGCAGAAATCCAAATCCAAATCGAAATTTGAATCAAATGTCATCTCGTCGCTTAACCTACAACTGACCCCGCCCACTGTCCACGCCCAGTCGAGGGGGGTGACTGGATGGGGGCAGACAAAGAGCTAACATCATTGACCAGATTACTGAGCAGCCAAACAAAGAGATCTGCTCGCAACCCTACGGGCGGACACGCCCCCAACCCGCCTCCTATATATGTATGTGCATATATTTGTTTGTATATAAGACGAAACCGTAACAATTACAAGTCTGATGATTTTTTGCGTAAAAGAGAAGCGCATAAAAATAAGTTTGACAAACGTCGACATCGACGTCGCCGTTGTTGTCGTTGTTGTTGTCGTTGTCGTTGTCGTTGCCATCGTAATCGTCGACTGAGACTCGCTCTGAGAATGAGAGACTCGGGAGCTTCGACAGTCTGCAGGCTAGTCTGGGCCAGGGGCGCTGCGGGGGGTGGCCGGGGTTTGGGCGCTTGGCGCGTGTATTAGATGATATGAGGTCATTCACTGCTGTTTACTCCGAAAATGTTGTCTCGCCGATGACGCGGCGATTCGCATCATTCTCGAAGGAACTTGGGAGTGGGCGCTGGAGCTGTAGCTGGCGCTAGTGCTTGGTGCTGGGCAGGCGAGCAGGCGGGTGGCAAGTAAAGCGATACATTTCCGACACTTTCTAACCATTTGACTTAACGTCTGAGCTGAGACGTCGAAATAAGCAGCAGCAGTAGCAGTAGCAGCAGTTGCCGTCGTCGTCGTCGTCTGTTCAATGACTTTTACTGAAACATGAAACATGAATCCACTACACAGAAGCCTAAGCTCCAGCACTCAAGCCCAAACCTCAGTCGATGGCAGTTCCAGTTCCAGTTCCAACTCAGTTCACAGTCAGTGGCAGTCGAGGTGCCCACCTAATGCGCTTCCTCTTCAAAAATTCTTTTACGGCTCTATGTGTCTATCCCTATTTGTATCCCTCTCAACCTCTCAACCTCCCATTCTCTCGCACTGTTTAGCTCTGTCTGTGTGTATTTTGTGTTGTTGCCAAAGGAGCCGTCTGCGCTCCCCACCCCCTTCTCTGTTCGGCTACCAGTTGTCGGTACATTGGACTCATTTCGCACGCACACCAGCTCAACGAAAAGTATGTCTGTGTCGCCAGCGACGTCGTCGTCGTCGTCGTCGTCGTCGTCGTCGTCGTCGCCTCATTAAAGTTCTCCCCATGGCTTCCATGCCACCCTCCCCAGCCCTGCCCACCTCATGCCACCTCTTTGCGGAGGCAAACGCCAAACGCCAAACTCTTCCTTCTGTTTCATCTTCTACAGCTCTTGTTCTGCTTCCTTCATTTGCAATATTCAGACACACACATGTTGAGCTGTGAGAGAGCAACTCACACATACAGTTGAAATTGGCAAGTAAATGGAAAGGCCCCCAACAACTAAACAAACGGAAAGTGAAAATTTGCTCTACTGGCATCGTCAAACGTTGATGGCTACGGCGGCGGCAGAGGCAGAGGCAGAAACAGAGGCAGTGGCAACGGCGGCGACGGTAACTGAGAGAGCACACTTTTGCTCTTGTATGCTCACTCGCTCGCTCGCTCACTCTCTGTCTCTCCCTCTCACACACACTTGCATTGAGTCATAGTCGCGTCGATTGCACGACGACGATATTGCAGCAGCAACGACGACAACGACGTCGACGTCGGCATCGCCAGCTCCTGCTCACTTGTCGCACTCTCGCACACACACACACGCATTGCCTTATTTTGCACTCACTGCTGCTGCTGCTGCTCCCCCATGATCGCACAGCCCTTTTGACTCGGCCTGACCCATTTGGGTGTCCAGATAGCTGCAATTGTTCGCCACTTGCTCCACTGAAGTGAACGCAGTGGGTCTGGGTCGCAGCGGCTATTAGCAGAGCGGCAGACACAACTACATGTACGCGCAAGTATGTGTCTCTCTCTGTGTGTGTGTGTGTGTGTCTTTAATGTATGCATAATTGATCTAGGCGGCAGATCAGGCAAACAAGGAAATGCTGCATCATAGACTAAGCTTGAAATGTGATAATCTGTGATAAAATACAAATTAGCTTTTAGTACAGGGTATCTAGCCTCAACAGCAAGCATATAGAAACTTATGTCTGTTTGCATGTTACATGCAAAATAAATGAAATCTTATATATCCTGGACCACTGTGCCGGTTGGCTATGTTTGCCACTCAATGTCCCTAGAGGAGAAAATGCAATGCAAATGCGCATGTGGCACACAAAACCACCCAACTCAAACCCAGCCGTAGCTGCAGCAGCGATACACATACAAATATACAGACAGACATACATGTGTATGTACATACAAACAGATGTAAGCACAGGCATGCACACGTATTTACAGCTTACATACATACGAACAGCAACAGCAAAAGAGAGCGCCAAACATTTTGCTCTCGAAACGCAAAAACTGTTACGTTTGCTGCTTTACCATTTTGGCGCGCTCCCCGCCGCGACTGCGATTGCGACTGCGACGGCAACGATGACGGCGACTGCGACGTCGACATCGTTTTCGCAATAGCGCAGCGGGTCCCAATAACATTTCGTGGCTCGCGCTCTTCCAGTTGGCGCGAGCCGAGCAAGCGAGCCCCATTCAGTCGCCGTCGCTGTCGCAGTCGCTTGCTCATTTTTATTATTTCCACTGTTGTTATTGTTGTTTCTATTCTCGCCTTTTTTTTTGTTGTTTTTGCCTTCCCACCTGTCTCTCTCGCTCTTGCTCTGGCTCTGGCTCTCTCGCTGGCTTGACTCTGTGTCTGTGAGTAGGGCGCGCGCGCGCGTTTGCCAGAAACGTCGACGTTGGCATCGGCTTCGGCATCGGCATCGGCATCGGCATCGACGCTTATTGCCAACGACATCGCACGCTGCAGTCGCGTCGCAGTCGCCGCCTGCAACGTTTGTTTGCGCCTAATAAACACTCGGCAGTGCTTTTTGTGCTGACTTTAGATTTTAGTTTTGCTGATACCGTAAGAGATAAATGACGTGCCGCGGCTGACAGCAAAGCAAAAAGCAAAAAGCTAAAAGCTAAATAAAGCGAGACACAGCAGCAGCAACAGCAGCAGCAGCAGCAGCACAACAGCCAAGCAAAATACGTTGTTGTTGTTGCCGGACTTTTACGTTCTACTTTGTACGTTTTACGTGTTTCCGTATGCGCGCTACGCGTTGCGTGTGACAAAATGTGTCCAACTGCAGTCGCCGCCAACTGCAGCAGAATTAGTGCAAAATTACCTCAAATCTATTAAGTTTAAACACCTGAATAAATGAATAACATGTGCAACGTGTAGAGAGAGAGTGTAGAAGAGAGAGAGAGAGGGAGAGAACCTGTGAGTGTGTTTTGTTTGTTTGCCTATAGAAACTGATAAAAATGATAATGGTGCAACATTTGGTGGCCGCCACGGCACATAATTTTGCAACGGCGGCACTCACAACAGCCTCATCATCATCATCGGCATCATCATCCTCGTCATTATCGTCATCATCGTCGTCGTCGTCCAGTTCGAGCTCCTCTTCGCTGCTGTCGCTATCATCCGCCTGCTCCGCCTCCTCGGCATCCGCCTCGCCGGCCGCATCGCCAACAGCTGCGGCATGTGCCACGCCCACGCCCACGCCTGTCGCCTCGCCGACGCCCGAAACAGCGAGCCTAGCTAAGGATGCGGAGGAACTAACAAAAACAGCTATCGAAGGTGCCATAGAGATAATCAAGTCAGAGCAACACAGTCCAATACCTGCGCCCAGCATAAGTCCAGCTGCAACACCAGCAACAGCAGCAGCACCAGCAGCWACATTGCCAGCAGCAGCAGCAGCAACAGCGACAGCAGCAGAAGTTGCAACAGCAGCAGCTGCCGCCGCAGCAGAAGTTGCAAGCGAAGTTAAGAAGGAGCAGACAGCAGTCGAGGCTGCTGAGGAGGACTCTGAGCACATTGCAACAGATTGCCGAGAGTTCAAAGTGCTCTACAATCATCTGCGACAGCAACAACAGCAGCAGCAGCAGCAACAGCAACAATCCGAGCAACCTCTTCACGCCGAGCCAGATAAAACACGCAGCACCTTGGATGATGTCTCAAAGATACTCTGGGAACGCAAGCAGCAGTTGCAGCGGGGCAGCGTCATCACCAGCAGCAATGAGTTGCATGTACAACAGCAGCAACATGAACAGCAGCACCAACAGCATCAGCAACAGCAGCAGCAGCAGCAGCAAATGAGCGACATCGAGGATGAGGAAACGCTCGAGGAGGACGCCGATGCGGACATCGAAGCGGATGCCGATGACGAGGAGCTGTTGGAGCTGCAATACCAAAATGGCTATGACTCACCCTTGGATCTCTCGCTGAGCAGTGCTGCCACAGCGACAGCGAATGCAGCCAGTGCCGCAGCAGCAGCAGCAGCGGGTGCTGCTGCGTCGGCGACTCCTGTGGCAGGCAGCAGGAGGCGTGGCCACGCCTACTCGGGCAGTGAATCCGATGAGGAAGCGTCAACAACAACAGCGCATTGCGAGCGAACGAGGATGCGACTGAAGCCGGCGGAACGATCGGCGGCCTACAAGAAGAGCTTGATGAAGCGCTACTGTAAGTGCAAAAGGCCGTGCAAGTGCCTGACTAGGACATACCCTATAATTAAAATATATATTTATAAATATAGAAAGTAGCAAATAAAAGGGAAATTTGGAATGAATCTTTTGACCATGCTACAAGAAGAGCAGTTAAATGAGACGTAACAACGGAAAATGCTTGACTTGAAGTTACCCTGTAAATTGTACATATGAGATAATGCGGGTTATAAATGGAGTATATTGGGTTTCAAGTTGGAAGTATTTAAAATATGGAATATTTATAATTTATTCGTGCAGCATATATGCTTGACTAGCAAATACCCCATATTTGATATATAAGAATATGAGGTAAATTAGCAGTATTGGATAATGGGAAATGACTTAATGATAAGGAAGAGTCAATTGTAGCTGGAAGAGCTGAATTGGAATATATACCACATATATAATTTCTTCATGATTTATATTATCTAATATGTATATATTATTTAAACACATATTACATGTGCCTATGCAAGTGTTTGACTGGAGTATAACTCTGTAGTATCTTCTAGACTGTTGTAGCTGAAGACTATTGATCATAACATAATTTTTATCGATATTGTATCGAAATCAATCAATCAACAACTAAAATACCCTATACCTATTTATAGAATAACTAAATAAGTGTTTGTTACAACAAACTGCAAAATATTTAATCTACTGCTGATTAAATTCTGTATTAGTTTAATAATAATGAATTACTAGTATATCTTTTGACTACTGACTTGTTAATAATATTTACATATGTAAATCCGCGCTTATTTGCCAAGTTTGTGTGTCTCTTTCTTCTTCTCAGCCATATAAATTTGATTGATGAGCAGATAAAAATTATGTCTATGTGTGTGACTTCTAACTGTTGTTAATGCCCCTCAAAATCGTCTAGCTACCTCTGCACTCTGCCTATATCTGGAAATCTGTTAAGCTTCACTGTTTTGGTTTTGTTTTGTATCCATTCGTGGCTTGCTTTAAATCTTTCAACTTTTAGCAGAGAAAAAAGTTGTGAAATGTCAATTTGGCAACAACAACAATGGCAGACCAAAATTTATAAAGCAGAAAAAAAAAAAAAAAAATGTGCTCCCCCAATAGACAGCCAAACAAAAAACAAAGACGTCCAAACGCAAAATAAACATTATTTAAAATAGCGCAATTTCCGCCGACGACGACGTCAAAAATGCTGCTTACGTCGCTGCTGGCGCTGTCTGAGCAGAGAGCGGCAGGCCGCAACAGCGGCAGCTTCGTAACAGTTTCCTAACCCACCTCAACAATTTTATTGATTACTTTAGGCGGCAAACGCACAGCAACATCAACGGCAGCAGCAGCAGCAGCAGCAGCAGTAGTAGCAGCAGCAAGAGCAACAGCAACTACTACAGAGCCATGCGAGAGCGAGAGCGCAAGCTAATGTGTGCGAGCAGCTTTCTAGTGAGCGGCAATTCCGCTCAACTATCAAACGCTCTCGAGTTTGCTTCGCTTTGCTTTTGCTTTGCCATTCGCGCTGCATTCACTCTGCCAGACTGCATGTGTGTGTATTATGTATAGATGTGCCTGTATATGTATCGTAAATTGTAATATTGTGTAAGTGTGTGTGTGAAATAGTTTCTCAGTTCGCACTGCTGCGGCGAATTGCCAAGGCGCCAACTGCCAACTGGGGGACTATTTGTTTCTGCGCGTGAGTGTGTGTGTGTGTGTGTGTCTGTGTGTGTGTTGGCACTTGTTACATGTGTATGTGTGTTAGTAGACTGCGACTGGCTAAGGTAACCCTTCGCATAAGCAGCCAACAACTTGTTTCCTCTATTTGACACGAGCGTCTCTTTTGACTTTTGCAAGCGGTTGTTGCCATTGCCTTTGCCTTTGCTCCGATTTGGCCAGCAGCAGAGGGAATCGCAATCTTGTACTAGCACAAATATACATTATATATACATATATGTGTACAAAACAAATACAATGTACATATACATAGTATATACATATGTATGTATATGTAGCATTTACTTGTTCTTTAAAAGGGCGTCAGGTACTTGAAATTTTTGTATTAGCGGAAATGCGCGTCGCTCGCAGCTCCACAAAGTGGGCGTCACGTTTCTAAAATGACTAATGTGGCAGGGGGCGAGGAAGGGAGAGCACTGCTAGAGAGCACTGGCTAGAGGGTTGAGCATTCTTTGGCAGGGATTCAGTTTATTAAGTAGATGGCCCTGACAGATTTATGCAGTTGCCAGCTGCTTGGAAAGTTTGCTGCAACTAAAGTATCTGAGTTGAAAGAATATGAACTTATGTAGGTATGTGACAAGCCAAAGAACTAGGGATCTCACTTAAAAGAGGTTTGCATGTTAAGTTTATAGAATGTACGAATTATGGAATATATTATATATATTTAAGTACAAACCTATCGAAAGTAATCTTATTATAATTAGGTCTTTCAACATCTACATAAAGTGGGCAATACAATCGGCTTCCAGATAATGCCCTGCTTTTAATGTCATAAAGTGTTTGTATTGTAAAAATTTCCTGTTCGCATTTCAAAGCACGTTAAATCCAACCGCAATAGCCCGCAGAATTTTACAAAATGCAGGTTCCTCACATCAAATCAAAATCAAATGCCAAAGCTCTGAATATTGCTGCAGTTGAAACTCAGCCTCCCTCTCTCTCTCTCTCTCTCTCTTCTCACTCAGCTCTTTCTGAATACAGTAAACAAATCATCGTTATCTTCAGCAAAGATCTTCATTCGTGTAAAACGCTGGGAACTTGATTTCAGCGAATTCTTTTCAAATTTTACGAAATATTTTTCCTTTTCCTTTTGTTTTTTGTTTTTTTTTTTACAAAACTCTTTTGACAAAGTTTATTTTGGGTATTTTAAAAACCCGCACACATACATATACACACACATCCTCTTACAACATGCTATAATTTTTTTATTTCTCTTTTTGTAACCTTTTTTCTACACGACTTTATTTCGTTTGTTTTGCTTTTGATTTTGTTTTACCTTCAACCTTTTGGGGTTTCAACCGCAGTCACTGCTCCCGTTCCCAATTCACCGCCCACACACAATCACACACACACACACACAGAATGCTAGGCAACTTTCAATTGCGACATGAGGCGAAGAGCGCAACGAGAGCTTACAAGCGCTTGTTACGCGCTCTCTCTCGCTCTGCCGCTCTCCCTCTCTGCCWTAGGTCTCCCTTTACATGAGTAAGCAGCGCAGCGCAGCTTCAGCTTCTGTAAGCGAGTGTATAAGTGTGTGCGTGTATGTGTGTGTGTATGGGAAATAGTGGCAAAGAGCGACGTCGTCGTCGCCCAACCCACCCCCTCGTCGTAAACGAGCTGCACAACGAGGTCTCTGTTGCTTTGAGGCCTAACGCAAAACATTTTGAGGTAGGTTGGGAATAGATTGGCAACAACTGAGCGCATACACAAATAGAGAAAATGATAGAGAGAGAGAGAGAGAACCAGAGAGTGTAACAGAGAGAGAGAGAGAGAGAGAGAGAGAGAGACATGGAGTGAGACAGTGGCGTACGGAAAACTAAAATTTCTCGTTTCAGCGCAAGAAATTAGCAAATCATTTTCTTTAGCTTAACCCAAATACGTTTGAGTTTTTAGAATTATGTAAGCGCCATGTCTCGATTTCTGTCTATCGCTGTTTGCGTGAGTGTAAGTCTGTATATGTGTGTATGTGTGTGTGAGTGTGTTGTAAGCGCACTCAGTTGGCAGACGCAGTTCTCTAGCAATTGCCCAGCATGTTGAGTCGTGGGGTCTCCTTATCTGTCCATTGATTCCAGTGCGATAATTGATAATAAGCCTGAAAGAGAGAGTTAATATAAGTGTGTGCGTGTGTGTGATAACTGAGATTATGTCACATATAAAGTGCTTAGCGCAATATAATTACAAAATCTGATTGGAATTGGTTAATCAGAATACCTCACATGCAGCGTTGTAGTGACTATCAATTTCCTATTAGATTTGTTTAATTTCTGATTGAACAGCTGAGCAGCAATGCAATTAGCTCAAATTTAGTTTGGATTGACTCAATATTTTCCTATATCTATGTGGAAAGAAGTCTAATTAACACTCGCTTTAAATAGAAGAACTATGCAGAGAAAGTGCTAATTAGGAAGAGGTGTGAATGAAGATGGCAAACTCAAAAAAAAAAAAATGACTAAAATATGAAATTATGTAATATCCGTAATAAAATCAGAATCAAGCATTCACCTAATAATGAAATTATATTATAGAAATTTGAATACCATAAAAAATACTTTTGAAATGCTATGACTCATTTCCTTAAATGCTATAATATAGAATATTTTTACGGAAATGTACTATATGTACTCTAAAAGTATTCCCTATACATCTATAGCATAGCTAGCTCCAGTAGTATGTATATACCTATACTACATATTTATTTATATAGCCTAGCTACTCTAGAACAATCTTGGCAGCTACTTTACATGATGTTGCATTAAAAATCATTAAAAGTTATCATAAATGCAAATTAGCCATGATCCGAAATTCTTTATTAATTAATTCCCCTTCTGCTTACCGTCTCTTGCATATAGAGAGTTTATTAAAATATCGCCAGAAGAGACAAAAAAAAATATTACAAAATTTTATTTATTGAGCTAACGAATTGCGTAGCAAACAAATGCGTCAAATCATTATGCATATACGTACATATATATGTATTATAATGTATGCATAGTATATATACATTTTTTAAGAATAATCAAAATACAAAAATATTATATGCATAATAAAAGCAACAATTTTAATACTATATAAAAATAAAACCCCCCAAAAACACAGTTCAACAAAAATTACAATATATTATATACAATATATTATGTACATATAAGCACAGTGACTGACTTACATACTTAAGTACATATACTACATATACAATATGTATACAGCTGTACATATGCATTTCCTTCTGTATGAAACGAGAAATTTCTGTATCAAGAGACAGCAAAAACAACAACAGAAACAAAACAGAAAACAACAAATCAACAACAGCAAAAATACAACTCGTATCAATTCTTGATGCGGAAATATTGAGGAATAATTTTGTAGTCGTTGCGTTTTTTTTTTCCACTGCTGCTCCTTATTTCTTTTTGTACAAAACTGTATATAGGCAAAAAGATGTAGAAGAAGAAGTAGAATAACAGCAACAAAAAGTAAACAGCTCGCACTAATACGAATGCATTTAATGAGAAATGCTGCTTTAAGTCCACACATATAAATATACATATTTACATACATACATCTGTCGCTATAAATATATAAATGATGAGACATACAAACATCGATATATACATACATGTAGCTTTAACAAGCTATCAGAATCGTGTGTGTGTGTGTGTGTGTGTGTGTTCGTGTACGCGTCTCGCACTTGTCTGCATGTGTGTGCGTTATCCGCGAGACCTTGAACTTGAGACTGAATTTCCAAAAAGCGCACAAGCACACAACACACTTATACTCTCTCACACACACACACACAAAGGCAAACAAATGCGCCCAGCGTCRACAGCGACGACGACGACAGCGACTCACAAACACAAGAACAAAAGACAATAACAGCAACAACAAGAGCAACTCTCGACAGCGGCTTTTATTCTTTGCACCCATACACAAGCAATGTGAAAGACACACACACACATAACGGCAGTGGCAGAGGCAGAGACAGTGGCAGTGGCAGCGGCAGCGGCATGAAAGCCAAAATAAGCCAGCCAAAACAGCAGCAGCAACAACAATGCACACGCAGAACAGGAATTTAGCGAGAGAGTGAGTGGGAGAGGGAGGCAGAGTGAGAGAGAGTGTGTGTGTGTGTGTGTGCGAGTGCCAGTGCGAGTCAGAACTGGGAACGCAAAGTGGGAATGAACTGGGAACTGAGTTCGCTGACGGAAGCAGTCCATGATGGGCATGCGGGAATGTGGGAATGGGCGAATTGGGGAAGAGAGAGTAAAACAGGGAGCAGTCACAACAAGAACAACAACAACTTTGACATTAGTATGTATTAATGGGCAGCTGTATGTGTATGTATGTGTATGCAAGTGTGTGTGTGTGTGTGTATGTTTATGTACATATACAATAGCCAAACAAACACATAAATTATAATATTTAAATATAGAACTTTTGAGTTGTTGTCGTCGTTGTCGCAGTTGCTGTTGCTGTTGTTGTTGCTGTTGCTTTCTTTTGTGTCTGTGTATTGCTGTTGTTCGCATATAACTTTTGGTTAATCGGCCGACAGTTGTTGTTGTTGTTGTTGTTGTTGCTGTTGTTAGAGTCAAATTGCTTTCGCTGTGATATAAAAACGCACACTCACAATTTTGGGGCTTTATTGTTTTTGTTTTTTCTTTGATACCAACACCCACCAGGCAAAGTTAACTATAAAATAGGCCAATAACGTAATGACACAGCAATAACAACAGCAACAGACACGGCAACAATAAAAACTGCAGCAACAACAACACCTGTTCAATTGTTGTTTTAGCAATTGTCAGATATACGGCGAGCTGCTTCCTCGGAAATAGCTCGAAAACTGTAAACAAAACACTTTGCACACACACACACACACACGCGCGCAAAGGCAACTGTGAGAAAAGAGTTAGTCAAGCATGCTCGACTATGGAATACTCTGCCTGCCAACTGGATAACGTTTAACGGCAAAGTAACTGAGCTAAGCACATTAAAGGCAACTAATCATAGCAACAACAACAACAATCCACATTGACCTACTATTCGCAAACTGCTCCATTGTGAATTGTGCATTGTAAATTGTGAGTTGTGATGTAACTGTCCCAAAACGCGGCGCACATATCAACGAAGCAGTTCAAGTCCAAATTTGAGCAGGGAAATACATAAAGCCAATAGACGAGAAAAAAAGTACTTAATGTCTGCATGTGTATGTGTGTGTGTGTGTGTTTGTCTGCACATGACTCTACCGTTAATTGTACATTTGGGTATCTATGAATAGGTGTGTGTGGTAGTACATGTTAGCCAATTTTGTTTTCTCATAATATATTAAATTGTTTGGCATTATTTTGTTTTTATTTTTATTTTTAATAGACCGCATTTTTAGAGGTCAACATTGCAATGCGCATTGTGTGTGAATGTGTGTGTTTGGTGGTGTGTGCTGGTGCTATAGTTTATGAGACGCTCTTTGTGCCACATTTAAAWTGGGTTTGCCAATTCAATTCAATTCAATTTCGCCTAGACCCAGCGGACTGCCGTGCGTATGCGTAATTTGTGTGCTATGCATATTGCGCATACGCCAGGTGTGGCCGGCCGTCTGCATAACATGTTCTGACATATTCTGCACTGCACGCAACTATTTATATGCATACTAGTTGAGGCATTACGTATACGCAGCGTCTGCTGCTGCTCCTGCTGCTCACAGCTGTGGCCATATTACGTATACGCCTTATTAGCCACTTGCGCCGTGCCACGTGAGCAGCGTCCGTTGTTTCCTCAACCAAACGAGATATATAGTATGTGCATACATATTTTCCTGCGAAATACAATTTGCAACAACAATTGACAGCAATTTCCGCTCAGCCAAATATCAGGTTTTTCTTGTGCCGAAAATCTAAAAAGAAAAATTCTCTGCAAAACAAGAAATAAATAAATAAATAACTAAATAAATTTTTATAGTTTCCGTCAAAGAAATAAAAGTTGATTTTCCACTGCACAAAACCAAAAATCGTATCACATAGAGTCAGGTGGGGGTAACAGGGGCAATGGGGAATTGACAAGCCACAGCTGATTTTAGTTACCTGCCTGCCTGCCTGCCTGGCTGGCCGCAATTTCCGTCACGAATTGGCTAGAGCCACATGCTCATGGGTCGATCGAAAAACGTCTATGTAAATGTGTCATATTTTTACAGCAGCTTTTGAGTTTTGTATAAATACACATATATATGTATATAAATATATGCATATCTGAAGCATATGCATATTTTATATGCATTAATATGTATATTTCATCTTTTTTTATATTTTTGTTGCTTCTCATTCACCCACAACGCGGCGAATGTGCGAGCAAATGAACGAAATGAAACGAGCGGCAATAAAAACGAGACGAGGCGGCGAATTGCCCATAAGTGTGTGTGAGTCGTGTGTGTGTGTGTGTAGGTATTTAAAAAGCTGTAAAAAAGCACACACTCTCACACAGACACATACATATATAGGCGGCGCGTACAACATGCAATAATGCAGCCAGCAAAGCATAAATTGTAAACTCGTCGTCGTCGTCGCCGTCGCCGTAGCAGCAGCAACGCCGACAAGCCTTGACCTGATTTCTCTTCCTCTCTTGCTGCCAACTGTTTGTGTTCGTGCGTGTCTCTGTATGTGTGTGTGTGTGTGTGTGTGTGAGCACGCTTGCATGCAAGCTTTATTGCTGCCTTTTAGTTTGCTTGCACACTGCACTCGTGCAAGCGAGACAACTATATGCGCTTGTTTATTTCTCACTGTTGATGTGTGAGTGTGTGTGAACAGCTTGACATTCAATGCAATTTTGTTGCTGCTGTTAGCTTTATTTTTTTTTCGTACTTCTGCTGCAGCAGCCGCCGCGGCGTTTCGCATAAAATAAGTGAAAATGCACTTTTACTTTTCAACAACAACAACAACTATGTACAACTTGTGCATTTTTCTTGCGTTGCAGCTCAATGCACAACAACAGCAGCAGCTGTCAGCCAGCCAAAGAAAGTGAGATGCAATTTTTTTGTTTCACTTTTGCTGCTGCTGTGGTTGTTGTTGTTTTTTTCCTTTTTGCTTTTGCTGCCTCTCTCACTTTGCATTTCTTTTGTCATTGTTTTTAACGGTTGTTTGTTATTGTTGCTTTGAGTTCATGGCTCGCCAAATTGGGGCATTTCAATTTCATGTGTGTGTTGTGTGTGTGTGTGAATGTTTCTAGCCTCTTGGCGACTTTTGCATGTCGCTCAACTTGCGTACAACAACAGCAACAACAACTGTAATAACAATTGTATATAATTATGCATATTGCGAATTATTTAAGTATTATTAGCTTTGCATTTCGTGTTAGTTTGGACAGTTTGACAGGTCTCGGCTTAAGCGAAGAGGGCGGCACTTGAATAGAGCTGCTCGCTGTTGTTGTTGTTGTTGCTGTCGCTGTTGCTGTTGTAGCTGATGAGATAAAGTTGTTTTATAATTGGGTCGCAACAGTTGTTAGACATTCGCAAGTAGTTTCGAGTGTTGCTCAGTGAACTATGAAATAAATATGTATATATGTAATTTATGTAAAATATATAACTAATTTATTATTTGTATTTTTTTACGCTTTGCAGATACTGAAATTCCTATTGTCAAACAATCAACCAGTCCGTCACCTCATCAACAACAGCAGCAGCAACAGCAGCAACAACAACATCAGCAGCAGCAGCAACACCTGCAGCAGAGCCAACAGCAGCAAGCTTTTGGCGTTGCAAGCACATTGCTGCACATTAAAACCGAACAGAATGCGCTCTTAACACCACTACAGCAACAGCATAGCTTACAGAGCAGCAACAATGCGCATCAGCAGCAGCAGCAACAACAACAGCAGCAACAACAGCAGCAGCAGCAACAACCTTTGGCCATCCCACATCGGCCGCTGCTGCATAATTTGCTCAGCGGTGGTTCAATTCACAATCCACATCACAGAAATTACACGACGGCTACAACAGGTGAGTGCAAGCGGCAAGGTGAACCACTGCACACGCCCTTTTTCTTGCTGAATTGTATTGGCATGGCCCAGCATTTGGCAACTTGTTAATCTTGGCCCATTCTCGCTGCTCTCGTTTCGCAGGTTCATTTCCGCCCAGTCCCGCGGACAGCGGCGTCTCCGACGTCGACAGCTCCAGTTCCGGTGGGCAGCCATGCGCCGACGAGTTGAAGGCGCGTTTGGGCATGCCCACAACGGCAGCAACATCGGCGGCTGCAGCAGCCACCCACTCGGCGGCGGCAGCGGCAGCAGCGGCGGCAGCAGCAGCCGCGCACCTGCATACGGGCACATTTCTGCATCCGAATTTATATCAGAACAATGCGGCGAATTCGTTGCGGAATATTTGGAATCGAAGTGTTGGGGGTGAGTATATCAAGTATTCCAAAAAGGAAACGCATACAGTTGCATGTAGGTTTCTGTGTATGAATATGTATACAGCTAAAGTTCAGCAGTCGAAAAATGACGGGCTCATACATATCAATACAAATATATACGCGTATATATACATACACACACACACACACACGCAACACAATCAATTGCAATAAGAATGTGTTGCACTCGCTGCTTTTATGCTTTGCGCTTCGCTTTGTGTCTGTGTGTGTTCGTCGCTGTGTAAAATCTGTGGTCATCGACACATTGCCTTTGCGCAAATGTGAAGGTCACAACGACAACGACAACATCAGCGGCAGAGACAGCGACAGCGACGGCGACAGAGTCAGTGTGTGGCAATGCTTGGCACTGTGAGCGTCTCTCATTTTTGTGTGTGCTCTCTTGCTTTCGAGCGCTCTCTCTCTCTCTCTCGCTCTTTCTATGTCTTGCCCTCTCATTGCTAATGCAACAATGCGATAGTGAAGACACGAGCAAACGAAAGCTTGCGCTGCTCTCTCTTCTCTGCTGACTGCGATTGTTGTGTTAGTGTGAGTGAGCGAGCGCGCACACACTTTTGATTTTATTCAACGCGGCGCTCAGTCATTTCGCCCGGCCAGCCTCTGCCCTCCCCGCTAGCAGTCAATGGGCAACTGGCTGTTGAATTGGGCAACGGCAGCGCCGTTGACGCCGGATGTAAAACAAAACTTACTAAATAGCATACAAAATTACATACATATATATGCATGTCTGTATATGTGCATGTATGAACTGCGAAATAGTCGGACAGAGCAGGCGAAGAGCGCAGCACGGCGCACAGTGGTTCACATTAACTACAAAACGAAATGAAATAGTTTGCTGTGTAATGTGCGTGGATTAACTTGTATTACATACAGTCTACAGCATTACACATGCATGTACATAGCTATGTTAATTATGTTCATGTTTACAATATGCGTATCTATTTAGCAACTCTAACACTGTCTCTCTCGCTCTATATGTTTCCCTTTCTATAGTGCCCGATAATTATTATGGCAACAGTGGTAACAGTGGCTCCGGAGGCGTCAATCCTGGCACACCCGGCACGCCCAGCTATCTGACAACGTCCTACTTCAATGCGCCAACGGCGGCGTCGACGCAGCGCAGCGTCGCTGCTAACGGCTTTGGCACGCATCAGCATCATTCCCTGCAACATCAGCAGCAGCCGCAGCAGCAGCAGCAGCAGCAGCAACAGCAACAACAACTGTCACATCACCAACAACAGTTGCATCACCAACAGCAGCAGCAGCAGCAACAGCAGCAGCAACAACAGCAACAACAACAGCAACAGCATCCACAGACTCAGCATCCACATCAGCTGCACTCGCATTCCACAATTGCCAATGCTGCAGCAGCAGCGGCAGCAGCAGCGGCGGTCGTCAGCAGCAGCAGCGCCGTCGCAGCAGCAGCGATGCTCAACGCCGGCAGCGCGCAGAACGGCGTCATCCAACAGCCGGCGACATCGAGCGTTAACTATGATCTCTCCTATATGCTGGAGCTGGGCAGCTTTCAGCAGCGCAAGGCGAAAAAGCCGCGCAAGCCGAAGCTCGAGATGGGCGTGAAGCGTCGCAGTCGCGAAGGCTCCACCACCTACCTGTGGGAGTTTCTGCTGAAGCTACTCCAGGATCGCGAATACTGTCCGCGCTTCATCAAGTGGACGAACCGTGAAAAGGGCGTCTTCAAGCTGGTGGACTCCAAGGCTGTCTCCCGGCTCTGGGGCATGCACAAGAACAAGCCCGACATGAACTACGAGACGATGGGCCGAGCGCTGCGCTACTATTATCAGCGCGGCATATTGGCTAAGGTGGATGGTCAGCGCTTGGTCTATCAGTTCGTGGATGTGCCCAAGGATATAGTTGAGATTGATTGCAATGGTGTGTGAGTGTGACAGAACGAGTGTGAGTGAGTGGGTGAGAGAGCATGTATATAGATGTTAACGGTGGCAATAGAATGGGAGCTAAAGCGGCTAGCGGCAATAGTAGAAATATATCTATATATGTATAGAGTATATAAGAGCGTAGCAACCACAACGACACACACGCACACAAACACATGTATCTCTGTGTGTATGTGTGTGTCTCTTTTTGTACATGTTGAGTTTATTTTGTTAAAATCTAAGCAGAGAATTCGGTTATAATAGATGAAGAGTATAAATTACATAGCTGCTAGGCATATACCCTACACATACATATATATACATATATATGTGTGTATTTATATATAATGTAAAATGTAAAATTCGTTAGTAATTAATAATTCTATTCATTGGCTTTAGTGTTTTAATTGTAACATTTAATTATTGTTATTATTATTATTGATTATTATTATTGATTGATTGATTGAGTGATTGATCAATGAGTTCTTATTGATATTTGTGTACGAAAGGAAAGGTTTAGCTAACTGCATAGCTAAAGGAAAGAGAAAAACAACAACGCCTAGCCTAATATATAAACTATATAACCCCCTCCCCCCAATATATAAACCTAATGCCTATCCCTAACTATACTTTAGTGTTACTTTACGATTCGTTTTTTTGGGGGCTCATTGTTTTTGTTGCTTATTTTATAAAAAGAGATCAAGAAAGAAATATGAAATATATTTTTAATAGTTTTAATTAGTTCTTATGTCTACATAGTTTATTTATTTAAGTCTTTCTTTCTACTCTACACTGTATGTATATATATATATCTGTATATACATATGGTACATCTACGCTGCCCCAATATCCTAAAACAGGAGTCAACTTTCATTGTAATTATTAACTTTTAAGTTCAAAAACAAAATTTCAAAAAAAAAAAAAAACAAACAAACAAACATACAAACAACTTTTTGGTCTGAATTTTATGTCTGAAATATTTTTTTTCTAAGCACTGCCACAAACTGAAAAACAAAAACAACTCAAAAAATATATTAAAAATAGTTTCACATTTCTACAAACAAACTTGCAATGCAACAAACCAACAATACAAATCCACAATAATGTTTAAAACACTGCCCAAAA